ACACACAGCCCCACCGCCTCTGCGAGGCCGGGCGGCTCTGACTCAAGAGAAGACAAAAACGAGCGCTGGACTGACTCGTGACGCTCTGGAACAAAACGTCCCGCCTTTGGCTGAAGCTGAGGAAAACACCGACATCTGGTTATTGCTTCTGAAAGCATCAGATAAGTTACCCAGGGTTTTACATGTTTTCTTTTATAAAAATGCCTTCAAATATATAATAGCAACGCGTCTCAAAAAGCATCTCTGAGTTTCTCATTAAGGCCAATTAAAGGACAAGCACCTGGGCATCACTTTAAAACCACAGGAAAGAAAACCTTTGTGTTGCTCAAATCTTAACTTGTATCTCGGCAGGAGCCCCCGGGGCCTTATTTTCTGTAAGTTGACATGAAACGTGCAGGAATTAACTTCAGGAAAGCGTCCGGAGCCCTGGGAGCAGCACCCAGAGCAGGAGGACACGTCCCCATCCCACACCCCAAGCTGCCGCTGGCCCCGCGGGGGTGACACGGGGCAGGGCTGCGTCCCCGCCAGCTGCTCTGCAAACACAAAGCACCCAGCAGCCAGCACACGTTGCCTTTTATTCAAAAGCTGTAAAAATAAGCTCTAAACCATTTCTGAGTTTGGCTTCGGCAGACAGAGACGAATCAAAACAGACATTGGCAACGAGGGAGGGGGATGATGATCCTGTTCCAGCAGCCTGGAGAGAAACAGGGCTCGGACCCCCAGGAAAGCAGGAGCATTTCCAGCACAGCCGAGGGGCTGGACCTGCTCCCGGCGAGGATGGGCCACCTGCGAGGCAAGGAAGGACAAGCACAGCTGGCCACAAGCGCTGCTGTCGCTTGTGCCCTTCGTGCTGCTTTTCAAACGAAGGCTCAGCTCTTGGCCACCGGAGAGTCCCCAAAAGCGTGCCGAGACCGGGCTGTTCCGCTGCAGACATCCCGCCAAGCAGCGGGACAGCGCGGATGGGGTTTAAGTACGATTTTGTGTCTGGCGAGGGAAGATTTAAGCGCTCCCTGGGAGGCATGGCACAGGCTCGCTACTGGTTTGGCTGTCCCACCCCACGGCACGGCCCCAGAACCAGGCTCCAGTTTGGCATGGAGGCACCCACTGCCATGGAGCGGGGACAAGGAATCAAAGCCGGGAGGGCCCCAGCAGGGCTCAGGGCTCCTCGGGTGGAGCGGGCTGGAAAACCATCCCGAGGGAGCAGCTCGCTCTTCAGGAAGAGGCTCTGCCACGTCCCAGCGCAAGGCCGAGGATGGCTGCTGCTCCCGGAGAGCCCCGCAGAGCCCCCGGTCAGCTCGCAGCCCTCGGCCAAGAGCGTCACATCATGCGAGTCACGACCATCGTGAGGAAGTCCTCGTAGCTCAGCCGCACGTTGCCCACCAGCCCCGTGTCCTTCTCGCGGAAGGCGTCGGTCGTGCTCTGGAGCTGCATGCAGATCTGGATGAAGCGGTCGAGCTGGATGCTGGGGTTGGAGGATCGCTGGGCGTAGCGGGCCAGCAGCAGTTGGCTAAACTGGGGGCTGAGGTTATAGCCCATCTGGGAGAAAGCTGGGAGCAAGAAACACTGGGATTAAACCTTCCCGACGGGAGGGAGAGCGACTGTGCCCTCCCTCCCCTGCGCTGGCACGCTCCCCATCTCCCACCGCCCCGGCGGGTGTGCGCGGGCAGGGCTCTCCAGAGGGAGGAACCAAACCAAGGCACGAATTCCAGACATTTTTCCTCTCCATCAGACAGACACGCCCAAGAGTTCCTCCCAGAAAACAGGCTTTAGCCACGTGCCATTGGCGGGGGGGCGCATTTTGCGTTTCCTTAAGGAAGGAGGCTCAGCCACAGCCCTGCGGCGGCTCCTCGTCTTTCCCCACGGGAAGGCTCAGCACCAGCTCTGCCGCAGCCGGTTTAGCCAGCCCAGCGTGCCCCAGCTCAGCACCAGGCGTGGACTGCAGCCACGGCTGCATGGGAGGCACCCCAGGAGCTCAGAGACACCCAGCCCTGCTGCAGGGACGGCACCAGGAGTCATCACTGGGCCGGGCTGGAAATAAACACCAAGCAGAGCTGCAGAGCCAGACAGCGGTGCCCGGGGAACTCGGTAAGGGCCAGGGTGGTGTTTCTGTCCCTCGCCCACCTTGCTGGAGCTCGCTGAAGCTGATGGAGCCTGACTGGTCCCTGTCGTACTGCTGGAAGAGGTTCTTCCACTGATGGATGAAGCGCAGCAAGGCTGAGAAGCCGTACACATCTATGCGTCCTGACCTGGTCTTATCAAACATGTCTGGGGAGGAAGGAGCAAAGAGCAGGAGCAGGGCAGCAAGGAATGGAGCAAGGACACGCCGCAGAAACTCCCTGAGAGCTCAGGGTCTGCGCCATGGCTCCCCGGCACCCCGCTCTGGCCCCAAAAGCCCTCCCCCGCTAGGACTGTGATTAATCAGGACCATTCAATCCTTCAGAGGCTGGTAGAAAACAGCACCAAAACCTGATGCAGGGGCAAGCAGGGGAACAGGGCAACCCTGGGTCGCTACTGGAGCTCTCCCTCCCCTTTCTCCCTGGCTCTCTGGGAGCGGGGGCTCGTTCAGCCTCGTGCAGAGCTGGGTCCCCTTTCCCAAGCAGCATTTTGGGCCCCTGACTCGTGTCCTCCACCAAAAGGGCGCTTGGAGCTGCTCGATTTGCCCAGCTCTTGCTCCAGAGAGCACTTACAGGCCAGGTGCTAAGGTAAGCGATGCTCGGGTAGCAGGGGAACGCAGGCTGGGCTGGGCTTCACCCCGGCAGAGGCTCGTCTCAGAGATCAGAATAAAAAGCAGGGGGAGCAGGGAGAGCCCAGACTCACTTATCATCAGCAGGCAGGTCTCGTCGTTGAACGTCGACCAGTTGGAGTTGAGCAGCGCCTGCTTCAGCTCCTTCACGGAGATGTACCCGCTGCAATCGGCATCGACCGCCTGGAACCAGGAGAAGGCCTCAGGGTCCACACCCGGGGGGGCATTGCCTGCACAGGGAGAGGCCATCAGCGGCTCTCACCTCCCCTTGGAGAGGCCGCTGGCTGGTCCGTCCCTGGGGATGGCTCACAGGGATGCAGCCAACACCCAGGGAGCAGTCAGCACTTCTGCTCTAAGCAGCTTTTTACAGCAATATGATCCCGGAAAAACAGGTTAGCGAAGCCCGGGGCTTGGCACGTAGCGTCTGGCGGCAGGGAGAGAGAAGTAAATCAGACCCCTCGCGTAGCTCGGGACTGGAGAGCCAACCACGGGCCTCCCGCCCCATAAACCTGGGAGACAGATGCGCAGCCGTAAAGTTTTATTGCTGGTGCTCAGGGCTGCGGCTTCTTCGGCGCTTTCCTCCTCCTCCGGATTTTAAAATAATAAACTGGGCCTTTGCGGTTTCATTCATGGGGTGAATTCGGCTGCGGTGGGCGGGGGGCGCCCAGCCACCCCCCCCGCCGGCCCGGAGCGGGGCCGG